ACATATTTATGTACGGTTTTATATCATTAGCAGAAACCGTCACACTTCTATCTTACCCTTCCAGAATTCGTGTTGGTAGTGCTGACCAAAGATATATCACTGCTGACATTGAAGACCAATAAAGATAATTTGTGCATGGAATTTTGTTAAAAGTTTGCTCACTTAGAACTATCATGTTCACTATATTACCCACTGTACCAAAAAGAAGTACAACTAAAGCGACATGACGATTGATTTGCATCGTGACGTAGCTGATAGAAGACACGGAATCACTGGTGCTGGACATGTTCTCCGATTTCAACGTTCACTCGCCAGTGTTACAGAAGTAAGAATATTTTTTGAGTGAAAGTATAAAGATCATTTTCTGTATGCCTTTGAAAAAGAAAACCGACTCATTATTAATATCATTAGTTATTCGAAGTACTTTTCTGGGTGACTAACAATCGCACTTTTTTGAAAGTCATGTTTGTCTGTGTTTGAAGTTACGACAATTCTATAGACATTGCTTTTAATTTCTATTCTGTTCATAGAAAATAAACGTCACGTATATGACTTGATGGCGCGAAGGTAAAAGATGAGAGGAAAATTTGAAATAAACAAAAATAGACAATCAATTATGATTTCATTTGAAAAATATGCGAATATTGAAAGAAGAACAAAGTATTACATTTTGAGAGTCCGATCAGTGTTACAACGATCGTTCGAAATAATTTAAACTGTAGTCTTCGGGAATAAAAATAGTGCAACACTCAAGTTGACCAATACGGTCCTGAACTACGACTATTTCCGTGAAAGATACGGACAAGAGGAAAATGCTCTTTCATAACAAATGTTGACATTTTACTTGAGTATATATTATGAATATAGGAATTTCATCGAGAAAAAATTTCTACTAAGAAAGAAAACAGAAATTAGAGATAAAGTTAGAACTCTTTGTACAGCTTGAACAGAAGTTAATCGATCTGACGATAAAGAACATTTGTCATTTTGTGCATATCAACATGGGATCCCTTTGTAGAGATACTTTCTGTTCTCATTAACATTAATATGAAAGTAGTTTTGAGAAAATTCTTCCTTCACATTATCAATCAACGTGAAGTCCGACGTTTAACATTCACCAACATTATCTATGAGCCTGTCCGTCAGTGACGCACTCGATTTGACTTTTTGAAGACCTTGGTGTTGTCAAGATTTACGTATCACTTATTATTATGAACAAACTCTGAACGATTTTGTCCGCAAGTATAGATACAGACGAGCGTCTGGATTTTAGTTTACATTTTTGAATGAGGATTTAGACATAGACGTAAGTATAAGGGTTCCGGTGTGTTTACAACCGTAAAGCGTTGAAAGGAGTTTAAATTACGAAGTATCATACAAGATTCACGCTCACACTGTCAAATGGCTTTAGAATCTTCTAAAGCCTTGATATGATAAACCATCAAAAGTTACTTGAATATAGAGAGTTTTTTTTTTCACTTGATTCACGTATTTGTAAGATAAAACTTAGAATACCTCTGGTTGATATTAACGTACTTATAGCTGTTTTAATCAAAGCTTTCCAAGGTGTTTTCAACTGTGGAAAAATATACTAACTTGTTTAGTATTCTAATGAAGAGCCCATTTATTACTGTTTTTTTTCTCGTACGATAACTGTTTCATAAGTCATTGTAAAACAGTTACTAAAAGCTTTTCTCTATGTACTATATAAACATGACTATAATAATAAGACAACATCGCACCGAATGTTTGATATTCTGATTCTTTTGTTAAATAGCATAGTTGAGAAAATAAGATGTATATTGGTGTTCTGCTAAACATGCTTTACCAACTGCTTATTTTAAGTATAAACCATATGCAGTCGAGGATAATACGAGTGTGCTCCAATGATCGTTGATTATTATATATGTTGTTATTTTTCTGCTATTTTCAGTTTAATATATTTCATTCAATTGAGCAATTAAAAATAAGTCTCGACCAAACAACATGAACTTAGTAATGTAAAAATAGGATTAGGAATAAATTCATTCTTGATTCATTGTAATTATCACAAATGAAACATATATCAACATACAATTCAAATCATGGTGATTATTTGATTGAAAAAAAAGACGTTAAGATGAAAATAGTTGTTGTTGAAGAAATTTGTCATCATTAACTCTTTATAATCAATTTATAATCATTGGTTATTAATTATTAGTAGCACACTGATCAGTTGTTTTTCATCACTAACGTATTTATCAAAAGTCAGTGCATTTAGAATATATATTAATCGTATTTAATGAATAAGACTTATCATATATATTTTTATAATTATTAGGTAGGACACTCATACTATAGGATGTAATCAGTTCTTCGTTTTTTTTTAAAGAGTCTCTCATTTCGAATGATTTGCATACTGATTACAAAGACCGCACAAGGTCAAATTAATTCTCTTCACTTAGGTGTCTAACATTACCTGCAGAATTCTGTGTTTTATGCATATCAATTTATTTAAATCTCTTAACATCAATCTGTACATTATCGGGAACTATTCTTGATATAGTTCAAACCACAAAATTTAGTGATTGATTTATGTGACAAAAAAACCTTCTCTAAGATACAACCGTCTATATAACTACATCATATGATCACGTATTTAATAATGAAGCATTAGAGCGTTCATAAATTCTATTCTGTTGATCGTGACAGTTCATTCCTTCCGTCTGAGATGCATTTTTGTTGCTTTATGGATGAAAACGTCACTTTAATTGCATTAACGAATGTTTTTTTAATAATCTCCAGCATACAGCTGATTCATCTTTTTCAATTACCATAGTATCAAAACAGTTGTTGAAAACACTCCAACTCACTCTTAGATTCATACAAGTATAACACTGTCAAAAAAAAGATCCAATTCTTGTAAATTTCTGTATATGTTGAACGCGAGAAACGGCAAATGCACTGTGATCTTTTAAAAATCTATTGGAAGCAGTAAAATATTGATGATAAAAAACAAGCTAAAAGTTCGACAGCTTTTGTCTGCAACGTTCTATTGGTAATCTCCAAGAAAACTGTTAACGTTGAAAATAAAATCTTATAGATAGATTTTAAGAATAAACTGATAATATATGATACGAATTGATAATGTTGAAATAAGAATACCAAGATATAATTTATTCTGTCTTGCACAATACCGACAAGTATGGTAAAATCTGATCCCGCAAAAAGATAGTTAGTCCCAACAAACACTAAGTCTATTATATATGACGATGATAAAATCAATAATTGTTAAGAGTTTTATCTACTACTTTGATGAGATCGATATTAACACCACCGATTATTTTCCATGCGCTGTTTGTTGTAAAAGCATGTATTACGATGAATAAAAGGAAAAACATGAATATTTCTTTATTTCAATATCTTACAAAGAATCAACACGGCAACATTCTTTCGACGTCAATAAAGTAATTAAATATGAAAAAACTCGCATTTTCCTCATGTATTACTCATTAAGTGAAGATCCAATTCTAAAAAAAGAAAATCATCTTTAATATGAAGAAAGAAATAATTCTATTGTTTTCAATAAGTATAGTAATAGATTTATTTTCAGGTAAATTCTCTGCTTATCAAATTGAACGTGAAGAAGAAGCACACATATAAGAACTGAAAGGTTAACATGATATTTTAGTATCTTTTACTATTTGTAATTATCATGTTAACGATGGTTATATAACTGTAGCTTATTTTTCCTCCTTTCTCTACACAATAGTGTTACATGCATGCAGAGACTGAATTTGACGTGCTTTCTAACTGACATCACCGAGTCAGCTCTTTCACATGCAAAAGAACATGTTGGTTAACTCGTTTACTAACTACACTATTGGCTGGAGCTCAACAGTACTTTCTCAAAATTACACACTCTTATCAATTGTATTATTCGGTATATTTCTTCATTCGTTCTTATGGAGTCAACTCTTTTATCACAAAATTAAATATGATCTTAGTTTCATCTTTCCAGTTGGTTATATTTCCACTGATGTATTTCTTTTATGCGCATATCTTGTTCAATATAGTATTCGAAGTAGAGCAACAACACCAACATCGTATATTTCATGTTACTTTGAAGCTTATTTTATTATTTATTTCAACACTCTTGAATCATTTTATTTAACTGCTTTGAATGCTTGTCGCTATTGGCAAATTGTTCGAAACCAAAATATCTACAATAGACATCCACATTTCATTTTATTCATTTGCGCAATAATTCCATTATTTATTCTTATTAATATGATTGTACAAGATCAAATGAGTTGGTGTAATGTAATTGAAAATGTCGGAGAAAGTTGTTCTATTACTTATAGTTCTATTCCCATTCGAATATGGAATGTTGCACTTATGTTTGCTTTACCTATTATCATTAGTCTTATAGCATCAATTCGATGTGTACTTCATATTAAACAAACACATTCACAACAAGTTCTATCACGACGAAATCATCATCGTCAATTAATTTATCGATTCAGTATTTTCTATACAGTATGGATTATTCTATGGGGACCATTCGTATTATTAACTTATCTTGATATGAAAACAATTAGTGATCAGATCGATTTCATTATCAGTATAGGAAGTACATTAGAAGTAGCTATTGACGGTATTCTAGTTAGTGCACTTGACAAACATTTTGAAATGGCATGGAAGAAAACTTATGAGAGTATTCTTCTTAAATTAGGTTTAAATGGAAAAAAGAAAGTTAGTCCAATACATCAATTAACATTAGTAATGCACGACAAAATGGATTCAAAGAATAATATAATGAATAAGTAATATGGCGTTACTTCGAATGGTTTAATTTTTGTATATGCACGAAGAATCTAATTGATGAGCTAATGGTGTTTCAATGGAGAATCATGTAGTTTATTTTAGTATTTTAGTTATGTCCTGCAATAAACAGTTCATTTATATAAAGTATTTCACAGATTTCAATAAGTTTCGTAAGCTAATAGGATACGAAAAATAATGAAGAAGAAAACGTTTTAATAACGTAGATAATTATCAACATAATTATGTCTAGCGAATAAGAAAAAATTGTGTTTCCAGGTATATTATGAATAATATAAGGATCTCAAAGTCTTGCAGTGATCATATTAGTGTGCAGTACGTTGTAATTCGGTCTCGATTCGGCGCATTTCTATATTCGTTATCATGTGATCTGAGTTCTTTTGCCAAATAAATACGACAAACCTAAGCAATTTATAACAACTTTGCCTTATAAGATAGCAAATCTTTCTAACTATTTTACTTCGTAATAAGTTGTGTTTAAGCACATGCAGAGATGGGCAAGTCAGAGGTTTTTCCAAGTCAAGTCATGAGTTAAGGTGAACAAGTCAAGTCAAGTCAAAGATCAAAATAAAAATCGCCAAGTCAAAAAATGACTTGACTTGCCCATCTCTGAGCACATGTAATTCAATTTTTTTCATCTTTCTTCGCACACGTGGGCAAATGATCGACTTATTTACCAACGTCAAGTCATACCCATCAGAAAGTTTCTAGTCAAATTACGTCCAAAAATCTTCGAGTCCAAGCTATTGTTCACATCAAGTCACTTGGCTTGCTGTGATTTAACTTGATTCAAGTCGAGAATAGACTTAACTTTCCATCTCTGATGTTAATTGGCTCTATGAGTTAGCCTATCGTCTTTAATTCGCAATTTTGGACGAATTTAAGTCTAAGTTTCATACTAAAATGTATAGAACACCTATATATATATATATATAATTTCGAACTGAGTTACTCATGTCTGTTTCTTCGATATTGATGCGATGTCTTTTCACCTTTCTTGGAAAGAACTTTTTTTTACGAAGGACATGCAAGGATAAGTAATTCATTTATTTCTTTTTCTGCAAACCATGGAAATTGCTTAAATCGATAATAATTGATGTAAAAAGTCTTCGTTATGTATCAATTAACAAATAACGATTTATTTTGGAATATCAATCTTTTCTTATGGTTTAAGTGGAAATAGTTAGAATATTTTATTTTCTTAAAGTATTCGCTTATATCGTAGAGCACCGTGTTCATTCTATTTTCTTACTAATTCAATTTTATGTTTATTATTTTTTCCGACTTATTCACATTCACATGTACACATTTATCTCCAAATGATTAATTTCCTATTACATCAAGAGATATTCGTATTTGCCGTTCAAGTAACATTCGATTCCTTACTCCATATTTTATGGTATACAGCGAGCAACTAAAACATATGTTGACAAGAATTCAATTTTATCTATTTATGCATCTATGTTTTAGGCAGAATAGGAATTCAGGCAAATTCAGAATTTGCCCAGGCAAAATAAAGATTCAGATTGAAAATAAATTCATAGAAAAAATTTATATCGAAGTGCATCATAGTTAGTTCTATTCAAGAAAATTATTTTTTCTAAACACTCTACAATCAAAAGTAAATATTTTACTGTTCACCTATATTTCCACCACACCCTTGTTTCGAGTGACATTTTGTTAAACAGAAGGCCTCATTTTTCCTACACGGACATCGTTTCAAAGTGCACATTTGCTTTTGCAATCGCAAGTGTAACCGCTTCTTGGTGCACGTGCTTAAAGTGTACATGCTTCAATGAATGAAATATTCTTCAAATCATCGACGATAAGTTGTTTTAATTCTACTGGACAATCCATTCTTAAATCAACGAGGTGTTCGACCGAATATTTATCTTCCGGTTTACCATATCGACAGGCCAATTTAAACGAAGTGTTTTGATATTTAACAAATTTTTCAACAATTAAACAAGGTAACAGTTTAGCATCAGTATTTGTTCGATTAACACTGAATCTTCACGCCCACACAATCATTTGAACTAAAATTTTCGACTTCGCTAGCCGTACTGTTTTGAAAGCGCTTCATTTTTTTATCTGCAAAATTCGAATAATTGCGGGTAGCCACTCTTCGTATGCGATCATGTCGTGTTTCTGATGTTTCTTCAGATGAAGCACTGGATGCTGGCTCTGTAGGTGAATGATTAATTGATGAACTGGCAGCAACATCAGCATTAATTAAATCATCATTATCTTCACTATCATTGTTAATGTTATCGCTTAAATATGGAATCGGTACTGGTAAATCTTCTTTATCGATGATTTCTTTTTCTTTCACAAGTTTCCAAAAATCTGAATCAGAACGTAGCTCTTGATCAAACATAACATGATATGGTGTTTTCTTAGTAAAGACTGAACATCTAGTGTTAATAATTACGTGATCTTGTACAAGCTGTACACATCTAACTAGTTCGTTACAATAATATTAAATGTGACTCTTTACAAAATTGTTATTGGTTCATTTTCATATGCATATCTGATACAATTCTATTATTAATGATTTCAATGAAATTGAATTTCTATTTGTCTTTAATGCCAAGAATTATGCATTGCTCTGTTCAATGTATTTTCTACATTGTAGCAGTAAATGAAACTGCATCATTGGACAGAGATTCCACTAACTACACTCTTGGGTATAATGAAATATAATGTAGGAGAATATTGAGAGCTTTCAGTTGATAAATTATTATATCGGCAATTTGAATTGACTCTATGGTAATGTTATCATGACCATGGTATCACACAAAAATATTTGGTATGGTCATGCATAACATGTGCTATTGAGAAGTATTTCATTAGTTCATTATACACATGACAAGTTTAAAAGAGTTATTGTACAAAGTCTAACAATTGAAACAGAACGACAAAGCAACTACACAGTTTACAAATGAGATATGTTCTAAATATGAATAGAATGGCGAATGTTCATCTGCAATGACGAAATTATGTTCATTGATTAATCCATTGACGCATGTTCACAGGATTCTTGTTATTGAATCAGACACGTCATATGTACATATGTTTTAATAAGATTTCCAACCAGGAGTGAGTAATAAGTATCATTTATCTCTTAGAATGCTGTAATTATTGCTTTGATCTATATACCATGATAAAAAATTACGTAAATTTTTTTTTCTTCAGGACTAGATATTGCATCATTTCCTTCATGTGACCTGATGTACAAATTGAAATCTTATTTACTTAGATCGTATTGAATCTCAGAAATGAGAAGTGCAGCTTTAGGATGATTCTGAAAACTAACTTAAGCGCTAAGATTACGCTAAAATAATTCTAATCACTTTCAGTGTGCATACTTATTTTTGTACTATTATAATGGCGAAATCTAGAAAGAAATACTTATTAATGAATACTCACCTATATTTCATGCTTCCACTGCACCAAAAGATACTAACGCAAAACGAAATTAATTCAACTAACATACAATATACCACGAAAAAGAATGACGAGTGACTATTTTTTTTCTCATTGATTATATAGTAACCGCGTTCACTGAACTTTGCTCGGCCTTCACATTCCTTCTTTGAAAAGCGATAATTTTCTCTCTTATCGAATAATGAAACGTTGCAGGGACATAGTTTTCATTAATATATTGATTTTTCATCTGATCCAACAGTGAGTGTTACCCTTCTTCTTGAAAATTATATAATAATCGCTATTGCAGCGTAAACTAGTTCATCTGGGCATTGTTGATATCCGGATAGCTAGTTTTGCTTTGTATCATAGTATTTAGCTTAAGTTTGATTATCGGATGTTATTTTATGATGAAATACTATCTTTTGATCATTTTTAGTTATAAGCCATCTGACGAGAACTCTAGCAGGTTCGAAACGCGTCATGGTAGTTAGTACTCAACCGCACGCCCTATTTAATTTTATGAATTATTCATTTATCCTTTTAAATGTTAGTTTTACAGTTATTTTACCTTGTTTTTTAATATTTTCAATTATTTCAGATATATTTATTCATCATTAGTATTGTACTGTTATAGCAATGAACATCAATAGTAAGAGCAATAGTTCAAAAGGTGTGAATATTCCGTTTGATCAAGATCATTATTTAAGTTTTGAAAATCAACATCCACAAACTGTAGCACAAGAATTAGAACGTGCTCAAGAACAAAAAGAAAAGAAAAAGAAGAAGAAATGTCATGGAAACCGTAACTTACAACGATATCGCCGAAAACTTCGCCATCGAGGCACGAATATATCGGCTAATACAGAGTCATCAGTAGTACAAAAAAAATTTCAATGAAATGAACAAATAATAGTTGGTTCAACTACTAATCAAGCAACTTTTCTTTCTGTCAAATCAGTTCAGCATAAAATAACTAAAAAGAAGAAATGCAATAGGAATAAACAATCCAGTTTTATGAATACAAATAATATTATTCACCAAGGTTTAATGATTTGCTTAAGTGTATTGAAAGAATTAAACACAATTATTTATCGATCAGAACAAGAAAAACAGCAAGTTGTAAAGGATAAATTCGAATATCAAAGAAAAATGTTACTTTTGAATGCAACTGGCCATCAATTACTACAAAATTTCATTGATATTGAACCAAACAGGAGACAAGTGAGCATATCAACTATAAGATTTCCTTTGATAAGATCATATTTCTCTCTTATTTGAATTTGTTACAGATCACGTGGGCAAGACATATATGGAAAGCAGCAAAAGATCAATTGATAATAGAAGATATTGCTTTGCTGCAACATAGTCCTCTATGAACAACGTTAAAATCAACATCTAATTTACTTCATAAAATCATAAATAATCTAAATATCAATATTCAAAAACTCAATGATCCTTTAACAGGATCAACAACAACTTATACTTCCTCGAAAACAGCTGAAACACTATCAACTTTATGAAAAGATATTATTCAATAAGCTATTTTTATCCATCGGAAAGAACTGGAACAAATCAAAATAACTATACAAACAGAACAGGAAAAATTTTTCGTTCAAAACCGATATATGGAAACCACATCTCAATACCAGAAACGTGTGCATGAAGCTATCGAAAACCATCGACGGCATATGATAGAACGTGCAAATTATATGAAACAATTCCATTTATCAACATTTTTCAATTTAACAGATCATCAACCATCAACAAAATATTCGGCTTAATAACTTCAAAACTCACCTAAACTTTCTTCTCAATACAACTTCTTTCGATAAACTCATTCAACGCTTTCTGTCTTTTTTCAAACTTGAATACGATAAGTATATCTAACAATGTCATTGTTTTACTTTCAGATTTATCATTCAAATTAACACAATAACATAGAATACATCAAATCACTTCCAAACACAACAACTGACAATATGCATCAACACAAAAAATCCCGCGATCTACAATCTAATCACATTGTGAACAATTTTTATTTCGCAACATCTCTACTTTGACAAAAAGCCAATCTCAGCAGCAATTTGACTTCGTATCAGCTGCACAGTGAGTATACAATATATTGAACATTCCCCGCTATTCCATTTGATTTTGATTAATTCTTGTTATTTTCATGTTTTAACATTGCAAATAATGATAATAGATCATAATTTTAAGTTGAACCCCTTAATTGTGACTGACGAATATATTCGTCAAAGAAATACTTATAGAAAAAACAAAGGCTATTATTTCTAAATCCTATTTTTTTCGTGTGGTTTATATTAAATTTAACGTTCTGCACTAAACGGAGCGTATCATATCGTTTCTGATGTTTCTGATCGCTTGTGTCGCTTTTACGACTATTTTTATATATGATAATTCCTTTTGTCCGGTGAATTCTCGAATACTATTGAAAGATCTAGAAGATCGTTTTTTAGTCTCGAACACATCAGAAGATCTTTATTCTAGTATACATATATATATTCGCCTCTCAATGTTTCCTTTGTTGTTACGTGCTCCCAGTCCATTGATTCAGCTAATTCATTCCATAAGCTGTAATCCAATGGACATAATTCAGGCGAATTTGGAGGCCAACGATCCTTCGAAATAAAATCTGGAAAATGATCAGCACACCATTTTTGACTTGAATAATGTGTATGAGGTGTAGCTACATCTTGCTGATAAGTCGAGTTGTTTCCTAACATTTTATTGTAGGATTTTGAAGCAATGGGAAGAACTTCGTCGATATATCTTTCTGCATCTATCGTCCCATCCTTCATAATCACCGGAACCGTCAGACCTTCAGTACATGCACCCATCCACATCCTCACCCACTCTTTGGTGTAGTTATTTAACGCCCAATTGGCAAATTTAATCCTCTTCCTTTTTTGAAGATGAGCCAATTTTGATTGTTTAATTTTCTTATATGGAAAACAACCTAGATCTTCACGTAATATTCGTCGTGCACTTGTTGCTGAAATACTTATTTTAGCAGCTAACAATCTTGTTGAAACTCGTTTCTTTTGAGCTAGACTACGTTTAACCTTCAAGGTATTGGCTTCTGTTCGTGCTGTACGAGGACGACTGGGAGGATGTGATAAATTGATAGATCCGGTGTTGATGATCATTTGAATCCATGATTTAATTGTTCGCAATGACACTACTCCACCTAAATCGCGGTAAATTTTCGTTGGACCATCACCATTTTCATATTTATTTTTTACAGCTGTTTGCGTATCTTTACTTTTCATCTTTTCCGAAATATATTTAGAATGGCTTTCAAGTCCAGTCATACGTATATTTGTATAGAATCTCAAGCGCCATCTTTTGATAAAAAAAGTATTTTAATCATACAGATAACAGTGAAGAAATCTTAAAAATACTGAGAGGGCAATTATTTATGGCGCACCAGTTATATACGTATATATATATATATATATATATATATATATGTCTAATAGCTCAGATAATGATACACTATTCTTTTGATCTTATTCTAAAGTAATTTATTTTCATTTCCACACATTCTTCGCTGCTCGATCAACTTTTTTGCACAAAATTAGCATGAACTCAAGTACCGATTCTTACAGTGATAGCGACGGCAGCTTGTTGACATACAGTTCATCCTCATCTGAGACCGATGATGAGATTGATCTAACTAAATGGACGACTACTCCAACAATCAATGGAAATTCATTTCAGTTTGTTGGCAACCGTGAAGTTTTAGTCGGAAAAGCACGAAGTCCTATTGATTTCTATAACTATGTTCTCCCTCAGCATCTCGTACAAATAATTGTTCGTGAGACAAATTAATACGCTGAAAATATTTGCAATGAACCTCATTCTCGACGTTCACGTGTGAATCAATGGGAGAGAGCCTGTATTGAAGAATTCAATGTTTTTCTTAGTTTACTGACATTACGGGGAATTATAATGAAACCAGAGGTTCAAATGTACTTCACAACTGATGAGCTATTGACTACGCCCCTTTTCAACAAAATTATGACAGTCGACAGATTCCAGTTGTTGAGATTTTACGTTCATCATTCAAGAGATAGTGCAGACCAGGAAGAGTTTTGACTGTTGATGAAAGTTTACATTTATATAAGGGTCGTCTATTTTGGAAACAATATATTCCTTTGAAAAGAGCACGATTTGGATTTAAAACTTTCATACTATATGATTTAACTGGTTATATTTTTGATTTTATTATATATGCTGGTCATGATACAAATTATAAATAAGAAATATAAGAATTTACCTTTGCTAAGTCGAATAGTGATGAAATTGGTAGAAGATTACTTAGATGTAGAGCATTGTATTGTAACGGATGATTATTATTCATCACCACAACTGTTTTTACAACTGATAAAAAGAAGTACAGATGCCGTTGGAACAGTTCGTTGTAATCGCCAAAGTCTTCCATCTGATTTTAAAACTGCTAAGCTTCGAACGAACGAACCAACGAACGAATCGCAAGATATTACAATACATTGATGGCATTGAAATGGCATGACAAAAAATATGTTCGTATATTGTCAACATATCATAAAAATGATACTACAATCATTCAGAAACATCAAATTCAAATTGAGAAACCAACATGTGTCCATGAATATAATGATACGATGTGTGGAGTCGATATAGCTGATCAACTGATAGCTGCTTACAGTATTCCTCGAAAGAGATTGAAAACGTATTACAGGAAAATATGTATGGTTTTGCTCGATTTTGCTATACTGAATTCATACGAGTTATATAAAATCAAAACCCAACAAACAAGCAATACTGCTATGACTCAGCTTCAATTTCACATAGCTCTTGTTCGTTCCTTATTGGAACAAAATCTCGACGATAATCTTCCAGGACACTTAGTCAAGAGAGGAAGACCATCAAATGAACCTACACCAGCACGGCTAATTTCACGACATTTTCCATCCTTTATTCCTCTCACTGAAAATAAGCAAAAGCTAGCACGACGTTGTTACGTTTGCACTCATCCACAAAATCAGATAAACCGAGCAAGACATGAATCAAGATTCGAGTGTACGCTTTGTCATGTTGCGCTTTGTGTTGATCCATGTTTTCGTATTTACCATACTGTATTAAATTTTTGAACAAAACCCTGAATTTCAAAACACTGTTTTAAGATTAAGTTTTTCATGCTTTCCTCATAAAACAAGTTCTATTCTCTACAGAAAGTAATAAAACATATTTGCTTACGAAATTTTTACAGTGCTCCTAAAGATCTTTCAATATCTAACAAGTTCGTTCGCGAAAACTTTATTGCATCTGTAGAAAAAAATTCCACAGGTAAGGGCTTAAGTCATTTGATAACGAACTCGAATAGGTTCGAAACCGGTCATGGTAGTTCTATTTCGCCCTCACCCTTCAGAACAGACCAACAGATATTTCCGTGTTAAGAGTTATTCAGTTCGTCCGTTATTTTATCTCGCATTGGATCACTTAAGCTTTCTTTCGTTGCTTGCGGATTTCGTCGATTTTTGCTCGAACGTATGGCGAACAATAATCATAATGTTTCTCTTGCCAATCGTGATGTTTGTAACGTTTAAATACATCATTCCCTGCACATGCTGTTACACCACAACGGCACACGTCAAAAGGAAGCAATTGCATGTCGTCTGTATTATAGAGACCATAGTCGACAGTTAGCATAGATCCCGCCTCGATGTCTTTAAGAGCAGATACTTGCTTAACATCCAACTGAGAACAGTTCGCTTCACATGAATGATTCATAAACACACACAGATCGACTATATCACGTGTTAAGTAATTTTTAGGCACTATCACATGTTTATCATCGTATTGTAATGAGTATCTTGTAAGATACTTCTTGACATCAGGGTCACACTGTTCACTAATCAGTCGATAAAATTCTTCTAGACTGTAAATTCCACGTTGATCGCCAAATGGATAGAATGCCGTGGTTGTTGGGTCATTTTCGAAAATTATTTCTCCTGCCGAAATTTCCTCAGCCGCGAAAAGTCCACGATGTCCTGGCCCATACTTTTCGCTGATATCGGCCACGTATATTTTTTTCACGAGAATTCCGGAATATACTGAGAAATCGATAACATTAGCCATTTGCTTTCTTGCCAGAGACTCGTTCTATAAGCAAATTTTCTCGTTTTATATATANGAAATGTCCACGATGTCCTGGCCCATACTTTTCGCTGATATCGGCCACGTATATTTTTTTCACGAGAATTCCGGAATATACTGAGAAATCGATAACATTAGCCATTTGCTTTCTTGCCAGAGACTCGTTCTATAAGCAAATTTTCTCGTTTTATATATAGTCTTTTTCTTTAAAAAAGAGTCCGCCATAGGGGACCCCAACGACGCGGCGGAAAAAAAATTATTTTTGCGATTTTACTCTCTAAAATCAAATGTCGGATTGAACTATAGTTAAATCCAGAACATTAGATCATTTGGACATACCTATGACACATGCGAGTAAAAACACGTTTTACGAGCCATTTTTTATGCTCAAAAATTGATGAAACATAATGTACTCAGTATTTTGACGATAACTCACCATTGCATTGACCGTTTTAGACCGGGGACGCCTCCTTCCAGAGAGAATTATATAGGCAGAAACCTGACTAATCAAAATCTTTATATATACATGCAGTTTTCAAAATGGTATTGGCCAAGAATCCCCCTAGATCTTTCAATTTGGTGTCCTCCAAATTATCAGTGTTTTCGACTTTTTTGCGCGCTGTGATAGCGAAGCCACGCTGAAATTTTTACTAGAGATACGTGACAGGGAGACGCATCTTTTCTTGTAAGATCATCCCAGTCGGAAACGCTTGGAAGGGCGACTTATTGGGTTGGTTAGAAATTTTTTGCGGTTTTTTCGAGAATTTCCTAGAACAATCGGGAAAGTTCTAGAAGTTTCCATACTAAGGATATATGTAGGGTGTACGAATATCTTTCGGACAACAACAAAATTATGGGCATGGATGTTGATCATGAATTAGAAATGAGTATATCTCGTAGAGAGCTCCGACTGCTTCTGCTTCATGAATTCCGTTTGGGGCACAAAGCAACGGAAGCAACAAGCAACATATGCAGCACCAAGGGCAAGGATGTACTCTCCATCCGTACGGCGCAGCATTGGTTTCATCGGTTCAAGAACGGTAACTTTGAACTCGACGATTTACCTCACACCAGCAGACCGCTACAGGTGGATATGGATGTTTTAAAGCAGCTTATTGAAGAAGATCCTCCATTGACTACGCGGTGTTTAGCAGAGCAACTTGGGTGCTCCCATATTATAGTGGAAACGCATCTGCATGAATTAGGCAAAACGTGGAAATACGGAGTTGGGATACGACACGAGTTGACTCTTGCATGAAATTAATGACGTCCCATCGCAACTACCAATGGCTCCGCAATCCTATTACTGGTGATCAGAAGTGGATGTTGTACATTAACTACACGCACAAACGACAGTGGCTGAGCGCTAGTCAAACAGGTGCAGTAACGTCTAAGACTGATCCGCACTCTAAGAAGGTGATGCTCAGCGTATGGTGGGGAGTTAATGGAATTATTCATTGGGATCTTCTTCCAAATGGTTACACCATCACTGCTGATATGTACTGTCAACAATTAGATCGGCTTGCACAAAAAATCAAGGGAAAGCAAGATCGAATTTACTTCTTGCATGACAACGCGAGACCTCATGTTGCAAAGTCGACGCGTCAAAAATTATTGGAGCTTGGATGGGTCACTATTCCACATCCACCTTATTCTCCGGACTTGGCTCCTACAGACTACCATTTATTTCGTTCTCTGTCTAATCATTTACGCGAGAAAAAATTCGACGACGAGAACGACCTCAAAATAGACCTCCTCAACNGTTCTCTGTCTAATCATTTACACGAGAAAAAATTCGACGACGAGAACGACCTCAAAATAGACCTCCTCAACTTCTTTGACCAAAAGCCCCAGGACTTCTACGAACGCGGGATCCTTTCTCTACCTGAGCGTTGGCAACAAGTCATAGATAGTAATGGAGCATACATTGTTGAAAGTTAGTTGTATTCTTGAAGTTAAAAAATGAAAATAAAATTTTCGAAAAAAACGCAAAAAATTTCTTACCAACCCAATAGTATGAGCGACATTCTAACTGACCGACGAAATCGGGGTCAGAAAAGCGCCTATATGGTATAAAAAAATATTTCAAACACCGAAATAGACTTCAGATTCGGAATCAGCACCCAAAACTACAGTAGAAAATGTATTTTTAAATATTATGTTTCATGGATTTGAGGAGAAGGAAACTTTAGGTCTCCTCCTATGACTAAACTATCAGTGCGCTACACTTACGCTGACTTGCTATTCTCGAATGAAGAAAAATATAGATGTGGGCTTTTTTCTTGAGAGGAAATAGGTGACTAACTTTGAAATCGCGTACTCTTCACGCTTCAAAGGGTATGATAATAAAGGGAACAGGTAAACCTATTGAACAGGACTAAGATTTTCCCACCAATCAGACCCCTTCTTTATCTGACAGTGCTAGTAATACTTGAGTTTTTACACACAAAAGTATCCGATTCAGAATCAGCGTGAAAACATGTATCAATTCATATTGATTTCAATGATTGTGGAGATATTTTATTTTTTCATGAAAAATCAGATCTGTACCCTGCTCCAGCGTGGGCTCCAAAAAGAAAACTGACTAAAAACCTCTTTAGATTAGTTTTCGCGTTTGGCTTTGATTCTATAGATATTCTGAGAGTATTCGAATTCCAATTTCATAATCCACCTATTAAATTTCCAACTTTCGGTTTTCTGGGTATCCTGAGGGGAAGTACGGGCTGGATTTTCGATGAAAAATCTGAAGTGTTCAAAGTTAGCTAAAACTATATGGATCGACTCAATTTTCAACCCTGATCTCAAATCTGATGTTAGTTTTGCCTTGGTCTTGATCACTTGGAATGGTAGATGTACAATGCGAGCTCGAAATATCATGGTTTGCGGCCTCTCAGTAATCTGCTAGGATCTATCAGCACCATTTAAACTTTTGAAAATATGTGATTTCACAGTGCACTTGATTCATCCTTAATTGACACTAAGTTACCGTTCGTAGGCGGCACGATTCATCATCATTTCTTTTAATATCCGCCCTTCGTTCATTATTTAGTCATAGGAGGAGACCAACAATTTTGTTCTCCTCAAACTCATGAAAGATAATATTTAAAAATACATTTTCTAGTGTAGTTTTGCGTGCTGATTCCGAATTTGAAGTCTATTTCGGTATTTGAAATATTTTTTTATGCCATATAGGCGCTTTTCTGACCCCGATTTCGTCGGTCAGTTACAATGTCGCTCATACTAAGTCGCACTTCCGGGCGTTTCCGACTGGGATGATCTTACAAGAAAAGATGCGTCTCACTGTCACGTATCTCTAGTAAAAAATTCAGCGTGGCTTCGCTATCACAGCGCGCAAAAAAGTCGAAAACACTGATAATTTGGAGTACACCAAATTGAAAGATCTAGGGGGATTCTTGGCCAATACCATTTTGAAAGCTGCATGTATATATAAAGATTTTGGTTAGTCAGGTTTCTGCCCTATATAAGTCTCTCTGGAATCAGGCGTCCCCGGTCTAAAACGGTCAATGCTATGGTGAGTTATCGTCAAAATACTGAGTACATTATGTTTCATCAATTTTTGAGCATAAAAAATGGCTCGTAAAGCGTGTTTTTGTTCGCACATGTTTCATAGGTAAGTCCAAATGATCTAATATTTTGGATTTAACTATGCTTCAATCAAACCTTTCATTTTAGACAATAAAATCGCAAAAATAATTTTTTTTCCGCGGCGTCGTTGGGGTCCCCTATGGTAGACTCTCTCTCTTAAAACATTCGATTCATACATGCATGACGCATCGATATCACGCATCGAAGGATTGAATTTGGTAGTAGCGTGCTACATGCTTGTATCGTACATATTCGACTCATTCTTTTTCTTACTGCTTCCTACGTTTTTAATGTTCTTCAATGAGGACAATAACAAAAACATTATCAACGTTTCTCGTGAACGTATATTCAGTGTGGCCCATAAGTAACGCAATGGGACTAAAAATGTGAGTATTTCGCTCACGGCTCAAGCAAAAAGGCTGATTTCCTTCATTAAAAATTGAATACTTGTTATCCTTATAGATAAATTCAAATGACGACACCCTAATGATGGTCTTGAGGTTGAATGAAAATGCGGATAAAAATCATGTATCAAGGCCACGCTCATACATTATCACTTTCACGATTGTAGTAAGCATCATCGGTGATTATACGATTAAATGTCAAAAGTCTTTTTAATCGAAGACTCGGATTGCCAATTCAACGAGTGGTATGGATCGTATTTTTGTGTGTCGCTCCGTATTCTTTGTTGGGTTTTTTAATATATCGCTTTATTTTCACATGTACTTCGCTGATTACCTGCCCGATTCTGTATGTTTTCTAATGCGTTCGCCGAATTTGTCATGCAAACGAGATTTCATGCTAGTATCTGAGCAATACACGCTGATCATTTTACGTAACGTGAATACGCATACAGTTTTAGGAGAAGAAATACATATTATTACTATCATGTAATAAAAGGCGTTGACATAAATAAGTTGAAGGTATAAGTATAGGATGAACTAATAAACTAGTATATGACAATATATCTGACACTTTCACCTTTTTTCGATTGAATGTTTGAGAGCGATGAATCATCTACTTTCGTTGCTTAACACAAACACTGCTAGCATAATTATGTTCAACTTACACAGTAACAAGCATATATATATTAGACGTGGGCTTTCTGCTGAAGCTGACAGGCCTTCCAGTCTAAGATTGATTTCGAACGATCGGACCAGTGGATGCTAAAAGTATTTCCTAAAAATATCGTCTTATTTAGGAACTATTTTAGACAACGGATTATGGTAGAAAATAAGTATCTATCTTAGTTTCAGATATATTTATTAATTGCATAGAACTTATCAATTCGTATTGCTGGTATATCCACAAAATGATCAATGAAAATGGAGCAACTAATAACAAGGCGAATATCATTACAAAATTGTATCCTTTCGGTTTTTGGCAAGATGCAACAGAACTTGGGCACATTGCTGGATTATTATGTCTCAGCAACCTTCTTTTCCCATTTATGATCACAACCGTATCTATCGCTCTAATGGGGAGTGTAGGTCAAGCAGAGCTGAATGCGAGCACATTGGCTTTTGCTGTTTGTGGACTCGTAGGCAAAGCGGTGACCGCCGGTCTTAACTTTGGGTGTGATACTTTACTGCCACAATATTTCAGCGGGAAGAAGAGTGGAATGGGCATCATTCTACAGCGTGGCGTACTAATTACGTGCTTGGGTTCTTTACTCTCATGGTCGTTGATGTTGAATGCAGTAAGTGTTTCTCGTTATCCTTCCTTATCTTTATTGTACCGAGATATGAATTAAAGAAAGTTCAAATACTTGTGTTCTTGATCAAAACATTAGGTGATTCAGTATTAGCGAATTGATATCAGCAAATATTTGTTGTTCTTGTTTTTCAAAGAGCTAACTATATTTTAAAGTAGAGGAAGAGTATAGAATAGGGAACTTTTATGTTTGCTGTGGTGTGTTCTCTAAATCATGGAAAGTTTTCTAGTGTCCAACATGTGTTCTACTTACTCTTCTGTGGGCTTGAGCTAGCTATTCTTGACAGGAAGTGTTTCGCGTTTTGGTGATCTATTTTCAGAGATATGCACTTCGATGGATTGAGCATGACCCACATGTGATAACACTTACCAATACTTTTCTACAACTCTACTTGCCTGTTGTTCCGTTGGATGCAGTAATATCCCTGTTACGCATGTATTTAGCAAGTTGCGGAAGAACACATCCAATCGTCATTATTTTTGCCATTGGCAACGTGATTCACATTATATCTTTGTATATTTGCCTGTATTACCTCCATATTGGCCTTCATGCAGTACCAATATCAGCCATCGTGTCATATACCACCATATTGCTAGCCTTCGTGACCTATATACGTTCTTCGACGCTGTATGAGGAAACGTGGCGTCCAGTAACTCGTGCCTGTCTTCGAGAGTGGGACACATATCTTAAGTTGGCTGTCCCAGGTGCGTTTTCAATCTTGTAAGTCATTTCTTAAAGATAGAAACAATATTACTTTTGTAAGAAAAGAAGCAGTAAGTCATTGTTTAGTATAGAATGTTTCAACGCGGTAGTTTTGCAGATGGATAATGAAAAGGCATAATAGATAGGATTGCCATTGTCGAAGTCTTCCGTGATGTTTATGCCGAAAAATTCAGAAATTCTCAGCAACTAATTATATATTCGAGATATTCAACGATTGTGTCAAAACTGCTCACATCGACTTTAGCTAACAGTGTCTAAGAGGCACGATGTTTTAATCAAGCGTTTTTTCACAGAATTTCTAAAAATAACGCTTCATCAGTTGATGTCTATTTCTAGTATTGAATATTGGTCCGTCGGTTTGAGCGTCCTTTTTGTGGTTAACTTAGGCCCTGATTCTCTTTCGGCACAAGTTATAGTGCAGCAAACAATATGGTTTATCTTACATATTATGATATCGATTAGTGATGCAGGTAACATTCTTATCGGACGACAACTCGGTGTCAATCAAACACAGAGAGCGATTCAAGTAAAAAATGTCGTTTACACACTCACCTTAGCTGCATTGTCGATCACTACATGCTTCGTTGTCCTCGGTCGTGCTTGGATCCCAATCATCTATAATGTACCGACAAGTGCTCAGTCGCTGGCTCAAAATGCCCTCCTGTTGGCTGCTATTGTTAATATCTTCGAAGGTTTGTATGTTGTTCAAACTGGCATAATTCGAGCATGGTAAGTTGCCATTTTAAGCGTGAGAGTGTGGGGGTTGAATGCACTTTGATCTTAATACCAATTTTATTAGAATTGAGGATTTGTCTAGACATGTATTGACCAATCTGATGTGTTCCACTCGCTGAAAATGAATTAGCAGAGACAGCGATGGTGGTAGAATCAACTATCTAATGAATTTTTCCCAAACAACTAAGGCGATGAGGTTTTAAATTCTTCAACCAGTGTTTGGATACCTGACAATTTAAACTTGAATCTTCAACATACTTTTGACGCGCCTTTCGTCGCAAATCTTGGTCGTGATTTGAAATCTCATGATCTCGAGCTTTATCATACTTGTCATAAATAAGGTCGTTCATGATCTGCAGTTTTCCCATTTTCTACCATTCTGTTCAATGTAATGACAACAAGAAAAGTAACATGTTGTGAATGAGGACAGTTGCAAATCTATGTTTTGTCGACTGACACATGTGTTTTTTCTTCCGGCCAAATCAAGAGAATCATACGGTTCAAATACCTTTCTCATGAAGGTCCGACTGACGTTCTCCTTAGTTGAATTTTTGTAATCTTCGAACTTTTTAAAATTAGATTCGAGACTTTCATCATCAACTATCCTCAGGAAACAATCGACAACTTTTTCATCGTGAGAATTTACTCTTGATTGTCGATGGTCTGGATCGTGTCTTTCGGCGACTTTGTCAATCTATTGTTTCGATCTGACAGCGACCATGATACCATGTTCTTATCTGTAAGAGAACTATAAAGTTTTTATTATGGCCCTCAAGAGAGCATGATAGAATATGTGTAATTCACGTTTTTCTTTATCTCTCACGCTTGCATTGCGCTAATGTGTATGTGGCACTTCTGTTCGTGATCGCGATTAGTTGGAATAAACAATATCAGGAAAGAATCCGATTATGTTTACTCTAGTCTAGAGATACTATCTAGAGCCATTAATCATCTGAGATCGTTCCCTCTCAAGTAGACTTTAAATTCTGACAAGGACTATTTTTATCTTTTGACGGCTGCTATTCTTTGCATACATTACGACACCATGTTTACTGTAAAATAAAGTATTACAGAGTTCAATCAGAACTACAGTAAAAATAGAATAAATTTGGATACGGCGAATATCTAATGTGTGTGGTGAATTCGTAGACAATATTTAACTTATTTATATTTATTACAGTGGAATGCAAAAATTCTCAGTGATTATCTTATTCGTCGGCTTCTATCTATTCGGACTTCCGTTAGCATATGTTTTCACATACGTGATTCATATGAATATTTACGGGTTTTGGCTAGGAATAATTATTGCCGAAATAATAATGAATACGGCGCTATTCATACTTGTGTGGTTTTTCAACTGGGAAACTTTCTCGCAAACGGCAATGAAGCGATTTCAACGTGACGATACGATGGCACTGCCAGAAGACAGTGCGTTACTTAGCAAAAGATTATTAAAACCAAGTGCCGACGAAAATCTTCAGTTATTACCACGTCAATGTACTGAAGAAAACGACGAAGAAGGAGTTGCAGACGGTGCATCACAAAGTTCATCACACGCTGCAATTCCGCAATCATCTGTATTTGAACTGATTAGAGTCAAATTAACTGTACTTTTCCTTCTTCTGGTTTTGTTTGTTATCAGTTTAATGTTATCTCTTCAATAAGATAATCCTTTTTTCAAAGACTACATATCCAAAAATAAAAGAAAGCATACTCATGTACATTGCTGTGTCAGCAAAAACAGGATGTTTCCATAGTACTTGTGCTAAGTGATGAATGATCGTCTTCTCACTCTTTAATCAGGTATTCCTCTTCGTTAGCGGCATTCACTTTTGGTGCACAACCTTCTTCATATGATGTATTACAGGATTTTCTGGTAGTTGTACTATGGTAACAACATATACTTACATCAAGTACTTATTTTTCCAAATCACGAGCTTTTATGTCAACAATAATTACAGGTGCTGAAATCATTTCAGGAATATGGTTCGCAATATTTCAGATAAAAATCGATTTTATTATCAAAATATGCTATTCGATTTGCTTTGTGTTTCAGATTCTGATTGATAATGATAAAATAAGTCTACGTCAAATATGTTTTATTTGGGCATCATTTGGTGGTTTATTATTAATTTCATCATTTCTTTTTCTCGATTGGAAATTTACTTTTTTGAATTTATCATATCAATTCGATAGAAAACAAGATAAAATAACAACGAGGAATCCAGGTATAAACCCACGTATGCTCAAACAGTATCCGAATTTCTTCAGAATAGAATCATCAGAAATCATCAATAATGGAAAGAAATGGTACAAACGAATTTATAAACGTTTAGGAAGTTGGGAATACTTAAGTAGTCCACTATACATCATGATTGTTCTTTTTCTATCGACTTTATTTATTACAACTGATTTATTAGCTATCACTTGGTATCCTATGAATTATGATCTGTATAATCATGATGCATCATTAGGTAATATTTACTAAAGTATTTTTAGCAGAATATTCTTTGAGTTATATCACTCAATTCAGTCCTGTATTTCTATTCGTTTGTTTAACTACAAAATATACAAATNATATTATTGCTTCTTTTCTGCCATAAAATCTAAATGAATATTTTCATAAATTAAGGAAGCAGTGGCTTTGGGATTGATTTTCTTTAATTTACCAACAGTATTCGTCGGTATTTGTATTGATTTATTTGGAATTCGCTCTGTTAAATTGATTTCCATGTAAGTTTCAAAAAGTATTTCATAAACTTTTCGAAAAATTTTTCAATTTCTGAAGAATATTTCATGTAATTGGATGGTTGTCCTTAGGTTTTGCTCAACCTGGTGAGCGAGAAATTTTCTAAATGAATTTTTATCAATTCGATCATTTCTTACAGGTCAAGATCATTTAATTTTTATTCATACTGTATTTACAGCATTTTCTGGTAGTTGTACTATGGTAACAACATATGCATCAAGTGCTTATTTTTCCAAATCACGAGCTTTCATATCAACAATATTTACAGGTGCTGGAATCATTTCAGGAATATGGTTTACAATATTCCAAGTAAAAATCGATTTTATTATCAAAATATGCTATTCGATTTGCTTTGTTTTTCAGATTCTGATTGATAATAATAAAATAAGCCTACGTCAAATATGTTTTATTTGGGCGTCATTTGGTGTTTTATTATTAATTTCATCATTTCTTTTTCTCGACTGGAAATTTCCTTTTTTGAATTTATCATATCAATTCGATACAAAACAAGATGAAATAACAATGAGGAATCCAGGTATAAATGCACATATGTTCAAGAAGTATCTGAATTTCTTTAGAATAGAATCATCAGAAACCACCAATAATGAAAAGAAATGGTACAAACGAATTTATAAACGCTTAGGAATTTGGAAATATTTAACTAGTCCACTATACATCATGATTGTTCTTTTTCTATCGACTTTATTTATTACAACTGATTTATTAGCTATCACTTGGTATCCTATGAATTATGATCTGTATAATCATGATGCATCATTAGGTAATATTTACTAAAGTATTTTTAGCAGAATATCCTTTGAGTTGTACGAAGCAATTCAGTCCTGTATTTCTATTCGTTTGTTTAGCTACAAAATATACAAATGCATTCAATTTTTCAATTCTATCAGGCATTTTTATATGCCCAGCTGCTGGATATTTTCTCGGTTTTCGAGCACATCAAAGTAAAAATATATAAAATTCATTTAAATACTCTTCATCTTTGGTTGTTTCTTCATTTAGATCGAAAACAAAAGATTTTAAATATATTAATCTTACAAATACTAACATGGTTATTATGTATTATAATATGTCTTATTTGCATATTTATTAGTACAAAATCAATAATTCCTCTTATAATTCTTAGTTGTTTTATCAGGTCAATTTTATCAGGTGGACCTCAAGCAATTGTAGTTACATAGTTAGTTTTCCTTGGTGTTTTAATTATATAAAAATTCAAATGGAATTTGTTTTTGAATAGTTTTCCAACAAGATACATCGGTACATTAACTGGTATTATGTGGACAATGGTTGGTGTTTTGACATTTGTTCAATATGGTCTTGTTCCTTTGACGACAGATATAACAAAGCTATGGAGAGTAAGATAAGAAANTAGTCCACTATACATCATGATTGTTCTTTTTCTATCGACTTTATTTATTACAACTGATTTATTAGCTATCACTTGGTATCCTATGAATTATGATCTGTATAATCATGATGCATCATTAGGTAATGTTCACCAAAGTATTTTTAGCAGCATGTCCTTTGAGTTATACGAAGCAATTCAGTCCTGTATTTCTATTCGTTTGTTTAGCTACAAAATATACAAATGCATTCAATTTTTCAATTCTATCAGGAATTTTTATATGTCCAGCTGCTGGCTATTTTCTCGACTTTCGAGCACATCAAAGTAAAGATGTAGAAAATTCATTTAAATACTCTTCATCTTTGATTGTTTCTTCATTTAGATCGAAAACAAAAGATTTTAAATATATTAATCTTACAAATACTAACATGGTTATTATGTATTATAATATGTCTTGTTTGCATGTTTATCAGTACAAAATCAATAATCCCTCTTATAATTCTTAGTTGTTTTACCAGGTCAATTTTATCAAGTGGACCTCAAGCAATTGTAGTTACATAGTTAGTTTTCCTTGGTTTCTCAAGTATATAAAAATTCAAATGGAATTTGTTTTTGAATAGTTTTCCAACAAGATACATCGGTACATTAACTGGTATTATGTGGACAATGGTTGGTGTTTTGACATTTGTTCAATATGGTCTTGTTCCTTTGACGACAGATATATCAAAGCTATGGAGAGTAAGATAAGAAAATATCTTGAAAAAATATCTTCGTGAAACTTTGATTTTTAGGCATGGCTAATTGTGTTAATCTTGGTATTAATAGTGATTATTCATTTATTTCAAATATTACGACTTTATATTGAAGAAAAAAGAAATACTCAAGCAGATAAAGAGAAAGTTGATGAAAAAGAAAAGAACATTGAACAGTCTTTCAATGAAATAATTATTACGCGATTATGAATTTTTTAAAAGAAATGTTTTTGTCTCTATTTTGATCTTGTAAGTGACACAAATTCTTCTCTTGTTTTAACATCTTCTTGAAAAACACCGATCATTGCAGAAGTTATTGTTCGTGAATTAACTTTCTGTGCACCTCTCATTACCATACACATATGGCTTTAAAAAACAAACAAATCAGATGAATTTCTGTGAGGAAAGGGATAGCATACACGCATTCAACAATAACACCGACACCATGAGGATTGATTGCTTCTTTTATTGCTTCAGCAATTTCCCGAGTTAATCGTTCTTGAACTAAAATCGAATAATTGTTTAGATCGAATTTGTTACATTCATAAAATTCGAAACTTACCTTGAAGACGGCGACTAAATACTTCAACAATTCTATTTGAATAACGAAAATAGGTATGAAAAAATGAGATTTTGTCTATCAGGATCTTACCTTGCAACTTTACTTAAACCAATAACTTTTTTGTTCGGTAAATATCCAACTGAAACTTTACCAAAAAAAGGAACTCTTTGAAAGAAATGAATAGAAATTCTGGAATTTTCTTTCAAACTTACAAGTGATGTTCACATAACGAAAATATATCAATATCTTTGATCACAACCATATTATCACATTCTTCATCAAAAACAGCATCACTAACAACATCTGAAACTGCTTGTTCATATCCTTTAGTAAAGAAGAGAATTGCTTCTGCTGCTCGTTTTGGTGTTTTTAATAAACCTTTTCCAAAGAAAATACTTTTATCTTATCAAAAATCATTGAAAATCTTTACCTTGTCGATGAATATCTTCCCCAAGACTATTCAAAATTTCTTCATAACAATGAGAAATTGCTTCNCTTCATCAAAAACAGCATCACTAACAACATCTGAAACTGCTTGTTCATATCCTTTAGTAAAGAAGAGAATTGCTTCTGCTGCTCGTTTTGGTGTTTTTAATAAACCTTTTCCAAAGAAAATTTTTTTATTTATCAAAAATCATTGTAAATCTCTACCTTGTCGATGAATATCTTCCCCAAGATTATTCAAAATTTCTTCATAACAATGAGAAATTGCTCCAACACGTTCAGTATAGATTAGTTTACTATCATGATCACGTAAAGCTTTGTCTGATTGAAGAATACTCATTCGACGAGCTAAATTAAAAAGACTTCTATTTGCATGAAAAAATAGTTAGATCTTACGTGGTTTCGATAAGTCTTCTTCGTCAGTTGATTCTGGTAATGTTGATGGTAATAAATAATTTCCATTAACTGAATGTTTTGTTATACCATTATTGACCGATAAAGACATTTTATTTGTTATATTGAATAATCACAAATAAATAAACGAACTAAAAATATTGTTAATAGAAATCGAGGCAAAGGAGAATTTGATTTTGCGACAAATTCAGTCAACGCCTAATATTTCTTAGCAAAATATATGCAACTACTAAACAAACTAACATTTAAATCCTATAAACATCAATGTAATTATCGGCGGATCATGTTCCATCAGTATCTTCCTGTGAATTTTGCATACACGATGATTACTAGTAAAATGTGATAGAACTTATTACCAGTAGAGGGATATAGAAGTGTCAGCGGTATTACCGATGTTCACTGTATATGAAATATTCACCTTAGAATTTGTATTAGTGATACACCACTATAGTAATCATATCGTTTTTATTTCTGGTCAAGTCGAACCCACGAAAATATCGACGTTTATGTTTTTCATTTTGTCACGAATGAATTATTTAGCTTAAAAATAATTTAACCGCAAAATCATATATAGTGCTGACTAAAATCATAAGAACAAAATCAGGAAAGTGGAAGTTCCTGCTGTGCTTTGCACCGTTTTTTAACTATTATTTTTCCTAAATATGTAATTCGCACTTTCAGAACGTTAATACGCTGAAAAGGTCAGATCTGTAGCGGTTTAACATTCTGAAATTACGAATTACACGTTGAAAATGGCGTTTTTACGTTTTATTAGTTGCCGTGTTTAGCCCACAGTCGAGGTTCCCAATTGAACGTTTAAACGCGTTTTTTCAAATTTTTGTCTGCTCGAGAAGACTTACCTTAGATATGAATATATTTTTGTCATTGATTTACATTGCTTATATACCATTATCTCGACCCTCTTCTTTTTTTTCTTCTCATTTTTGCGAATATCCATACATTTTCTCCCTTAACTACTGAAGGTAAGGGTGTATGCGAAAAAAAGTGAAAATGGTTTGATTGATTATTTGTTTGTTTGTGTCATGGTTAAAGAAAAATTTTCTTGAAAGTCTTGAGGGGAGAAGGCGTGTCGACGTGGGTGATCGGAATCGGTGATGGATGGCTATGCTCTTGAGTTGAGGACTCTAGTGAGGTTTAGTGTTTGGTTAGTGTTGAATTTTTATCATGTAATATGAAGTTGATGTGGGGTTGGGATGGGTAGGAATGATTTTCGAACGCAGTTGGAACGGCTAGGGTGTTCCAAGTTTTATCCAACTGTAACTGATGTTAGGAGTAATAAAAGAACGAAAAATAGTCGTATGTAGTACCGTAGCTAAATGCAGCGAAAGCGAAACAGCGAGATATCAAAACACGCATTAACTAAACTCACACGTGTCAAATGTAACCCTAATCCATTGAGTTAAACTTATTAAATCTATGGAAATTTTGCAAAGGCAAAGAAATAAAACTTTTCGAAGTAATTGATGATTATTAGTAGGGGCAGTGTGACGATCTTTTTCGAATGCGCTGTACGCATTCTATTTGTCCCCATTTCGGTGCATTTTTATGTACTTTGGCATTATCCTTCCTTCCTTTCTATCGAGAGAGGGATAGGATACACGTCGCTTCCATCAGAAATCGTCATAGATAGGACAGTTTCATATTAGTTCCAATCATGAGAACTATTTGATAGTTCGTTTGAATGGAACTGATCTATGCTTACTATTTGTTTCTCGTAAGTTAGGTATCGGTTCTACTTTTTCTCTGCAACTCTCGTCATTTCATAACCACTTATGAACGGTTCACGATTTTCTACTGAAGACTTCTATTTATTCCCTGACAGAAGTCGTTTATCTAAACAATATACGTATTCGAAATCCACAAAGCTGAAAGGATTTTTTTGTGAAACCGATAGTAATTTGAGAGCATCTGTAATCATAACAAAACAGAAAAAGTAAACCATATGTTTATGATAAGCGACATTCCAGAAATTTCCAAATATTCCTTTCTAACACAATGATCTTCTGCAAAAGAAATTATCTTTACTATTTATACATGGTAACGATCAAACGTATACGCTTTTAGAACGTATGTGTTGACTGTCGGATGTTCATTAATCTGTTGTCAAGAGTTTCTTTAGGACGTTGCTCTATAAATAACGACATTGATAGAAAAGTATCCATCTAATAATGCATAGTAATTGTGCAAATAGACCACAGATATTCTTACGTTTTATCTTTTTGCACTGGATGTCCATATTTAAATAACTTTCGGTGTCTTGCCAGTACTAAAGTGTATTTCCCACGCGTTCTTTTTCAAATATTTATGTGCTTTTTCAATAGAAAAGAATAATGCGACAGTGTGATACAATTTGTTTGTAATCTTTATCTTCAAAATTTTTACGTAGTGTTTTGTATGTCAATTATCTCACTCATGTTAAGTGCATTTTAACAAATCGACATAATAAGAGCAATAAAATTTCGATAAAGCTTTTAGACACAAAAAATTACATAAAACCGCCATTATCATGAATATTAGTGCGATTAAAGAGTAGAAAAAACTCAAGTAGAAAATAATCTGATGAAATCGAATTGAAATAATTCTTAGAAAAAAGCTAAACCTTGTTCTTTAAAAAAATCGAGTATTTTAATGTTGAATATAAAAGGAGAAAGATGATAAACCTAAATGCAACGAAGAGAAGAAGAAGAGAGAAACTTTGTCTGCTGCTATGTATTGTTAGGTTTGTATGTTGGTATTGGAAGGTAATGCAATAGTTAGCGAGATAAATCTGAAGTGAAAACATTCAATATGATCAGGATTTACATCACGAATCCTCTGCCATAGTTTCATCTGTGAATGCTCTTTTCTAAATAAGTGGTCATCCGTTCGATTATTTCCTTTTTGTTTTGTTTACATTCGACGGTGCGCGTCGTGTTTTTCTGTGTTATTTGGATAAATTTTGGAGATAGGAGAGAAGGAGAAATAGTAAAGTGGTGAATTCGAACGGAAGGAAAGATAAAAGATTCTGGTGTCCGAAGTGTATGTTAGTGTAGGTGAAAGACAAGAAAGGAAAACACCCATTTATGTGCAATGAGAGGAAAAGAGACGATAAAGCGATCTATGAGCACGTGTGTTATACATACGTTCACGTCATATATATTCATATAATTCGATTTTATGAATCCAGATATGTTTTAGTCCATATTTTTCCATTCAAATAATGATATAATGACATATGGCGTAACTTGTCTAATTGGCGATGAATATTTTTGTACCCAATTGTTATAGGATACGATATGATCCTTTGTATCTGCTGTCGAATTTGTTACATCGGATAATTGTTTTGATGAGGATTAAATCATTCATTTTGTGTATAGGGTCTGAACGATACCAATCGTATCGTTGTTTGTATTTTTCCTGTTATTGCAAGATATTTGATTTCGCTTCATCGGTTAATGATAACAGATATTGTTTCAATCGATTGATGTGTTGTGAATCTTGTGTTAATATGGCCGTGTATTCTTGTTGATCGAACGGTAATATTGGTACACGACCATACATCATTTCGAAAGGAATTTTTCCAGTTGTTGTGTGGATGTTAGTATTGTAGTTAAAAGTGACGAAGGATAGTTGTTCGTCCCAATTTGTTCGTTTTTCATTCGACCAAGCAGCTATTTTTGCGTCCATTGTTGCATTATACCGTTCGATTTGTCCATTCGTCATCGGATGATAAGGTGTGGAGTATAGATGTATAACGCCAATCTTTTTAAATAATTCTGTCATTATTGAAGCGGTGAAGAGTGTTCCATTGTCGGTAAGAATGCATTTGGGTGTCCCATATTTCAAAATCACTTCGTCTGTAACGAATCGTGCGACCGTCGCTGCTGTACAATCACGCACTGCTTTTGTAATAACGAATTTTGATAGAACGTCAGTTAATGATATCATATATTTGCTTCCATGCTTTGTTGTTGATATTACTGGTCCGTGAAAATCCATGGTCAGTAATTACCAAACTCATTCTGGCGGTTTGATGGGTTTCAGCGCACTTGGAGGTTTTCGACGAATATGATTGTTTTGCAAGCAAGGAATGCACGATTTTATATGGTTCCGTATGCTACTAATCATGTTCAGCCAGTAATATCGGTTTTGGATCTTCTGAATCGTTCAGTCTCGACCAAAATGTGCACCATTTGCCGGCGTATCATGATAGATTTTTATTATATCGGATCGAAGACGGCCATTTGGTACGAATGGTACCGGCGGAATCGAATTCTTTATTAACATATTATCCATCATAATGTAGTCGTCGGATGCATCAATATTTTTCATCAGTTGTTGTATCTCGTCATCTTGATGTTGTAGTTCTTTTAATCGTTCCTGAGTAAAAGGTATGATTTGATTATCAGTTTCCATCACCTGCTGGTGTTCGGTGATTGTTTTTTTACAGGAGCTATTCTGCGTAAGTTCGTTGTTCCTCTTTGCTCGTTCGTCACGGGATTGATTGATCGGATTATCATTAGCTACTTTGTCCAGTTGTTGTTTGGCTCTTGATCGGGCGACGACAGGTGCTATAATCGATGCAGGTGTTGGATTTTCAGTTTGTGTTGCTCGTGATTGTGTTGGACTATAATCGTCTGGGTCATCAAATGCAGTGTCTAGAGGTGATCGTGTTAGATAATCGACCACTGTATTGTGCTTTCCTTTGATGTATTGGACCGTAAATCTGTACTGTCGTAATTTTAAACGCCAGCGTTCGTACTTGGAAGCTGTTGTTTCAGTTTCAATGGTAGTAGAGGTCTATGGTCAGTTTTGATTTTGAAGTGGCATCCATTAAGGTATTTATGCCATTTTTCAATCGCGTCGATGATGGCATAACATTATTGTTCTGTGGCGGGGCAGATCATTTGTGTCGTTGTGAATTTCCTAGATAAGTATGCGATGGGCAAATCTCCTTTCGGATGGGTTGGCATAAGGGCAGCTCCTATACCAATTTTGAATGCATCTGTTTGAATTTCGAACGGTAATGTATCATTCGGAATACGTAATATCAGGTCATTGGTAAGTATTTGTTTCAGTTGGTCGAATGCTCGAACTTCTTCATCGGATAGTTGGATCGATACAGCAGGTGATTTTCTTGACCGTTGTTCTGTTGTCGTGGGGGCGTATTTGTATAATGGTTGTGTAATGAGAGAAAATTTTGGTATAATTTTGCGGTAATACTCTGCTGCTTTCACGAATCTGAATGCTTCTTTTGCTGTTGTTGGTCGTAGTGTTTTGAGTAGTGCGTGGATGTTGTCGGCGTTCGGTTTAATGTTTCCCTGTTCAATATGATGACATCGTCGAGATAGGCTACTGAATATTGCCACCGGGTAAGTCCCAGTATTCGACTGATGTTACGTTGAAGTGCTGGAGGGCTGTTCGTAACACCTTGTGGTAATACTGTAAACTGATAATGTAGATCTCGTGTTGAAAATGCGGTTTTTGGACGATCTTTTGAAGCCAATCCAACTTGAAAATAACCTGACTAGTAATCAATCGTTGTGTAGTAGCCAGTGTGTGAAAGATGATCGAAGATATCATCGATTCGAGGTATTGGGAAAGCATCCTTTGTAGTTATAGCGTTCAGCTTTCTGTAGTTGATGCAGAATCGGAGAAATCCGTCTTTCTTTCGCACTGGAACTATTGGTGACGACCATGGAGATATTGATTGTTCGATAAATCATTTTTTTAGTAATTTGGCTATTTCATCACGTTGTACTTGTTCGTCTTTGTATGATACACGATACGGTAGAGTGTGGACAGGTGGATGATGTCCGGTTTCGAGTGCATGTTGAATAATTGCTTTGATAATGGATGATTGTCGTAGATTGAAGAGTTTTCCGTATCTCCATAGAATGCGCTGCACTTTTCCGTTGATTTTCGTTCATGATGTGTGTTGTTAATTGTTCGATTTTCTCCCGTATGTCTTGTGGATAACATTTTGTTCTTAAATGTTCCAATACGTCGTTCCCAGATAGAAAAATGTTCCGGCAAACATAATATTGGTGTTCGTTCGTGTTACTATCTTGACCAGGAGTATCCGAAAACCGAACCTTCTTATGTTGGTTGGTTGACGAACAACAGAAACGTTTTTGTCTGTTGTTCCTCTGTATATTAATATTTGCAGGAAGAGTTGATGAAATCGCTCGAGAGTTTAATATGATGAAGAAGACGGCATGGTTGGAGAAAGGATCTTGGTGAGCGATGTGGCCCAACTTTGTATTTTTTGATAATGTTCGTGGACGATCGGTTGCGTTGATAATGGTAAGTGCACTGATATTGTTCTTCGCTGTGATCAATGCATATGTTAAGAAGATTTGTCTCGAATATAAGGTTGGTGTTGGTTCAATTAGTGTTTCGGTCGCTTCGTTTGGATTTGCGTGAATTTTTATGATTATTTGTGTTTCGGAGTATGGTGGAAGAGTAATGTCATTGGCTAACAGTACAGGCGATTGAATATCTGGTGGTTTGACAAATGTCGCTGTTACTGTTGTTCGCTGATACTAGTGATGGAGAGAAATACGTCGGCAAATGCAATCGATAATGATGTTGTTCGCTTGGATCGAATCGTTTTCTAGTAATAAACCGGTTACTAGGTGGGTTGCAACATCAGCTATAATTGTTGTGTTGTATCCTTGTATTGCAATCTCGAGTTTGATTTCGCCAATGATGTTTATCGCTGTACAGTTGGCTGAGTTATGTATTTTTGGTCGGTGGATAAACTTCGAATGATAGATGTTTTTGGGTAGTTCTTGATTTATGATGGTGAAAGCGGATCCAGTATCGACGATAGCACGCTGTTGTTTCTGGTTGACTTGTACGTTGATGTAGATAGGAGTTGATAGTCGTTGGGATGGAATGTAAGGTGTAGATGGATCGATGGTAGGGGCAATGGCATATCAAGCAAGGTTGGAATCGATCGTTCGAAGTGGTTTTTGAGGATGTCGATTTTCCATTCGTAGATTGCATCGGTCGTCGGTATCAACGTGGTGTTGGAGGACGAATTGGTGCTTGAGATGTTGAATGATGAACAGTGGACGATGGATAATATGATGTATTGAATTCGTTCCAGTAGTCTGTAGTCTGTAGGTTGTCGATAACGATTTGGTGAAGCATGTCGTGTGGAACGTGACATATCTCGAACTGTTGCAACTGACTGATGTAGTTGATAGCACCGTCTTGGTGAAGTAAGGAACGTATGAAAGCGTTGGATCAGGAACTGGCACGTGTTCCTCTTGTAGTTGTTCCTCAACCTTCGCAATCTTCAGAACTGCTTTGGAAGTGCGTGCTGGTTCGATTAATAATTTCATCTTACGTCTGATCGAGATCTTGAGAGAGTCTTTCACGTCATTTTCTAACCAAGAGATGATCATTTTATCGGACATGGTTGGATCATAATCGTGGCGCAGTTTAATAACGTTGTCATAACATGATGTAACAGATTCGTCGGATTTCTGCTTCCGTTCCTTCAATTTCTCGAATGTCTTGGTTAACGAATCGGCTGTTGTAAATCGTTCAAGCAAGGCTGATTTTAGAATCTCCCATTTATCTAATGTAGCATTATTTTCGTACCATCGTTTGGCTTCACCACCGAGTTTTCCCAGGTCGATCATTCCGACGACTGGATCCGTTGAAACCTGAGTCGGTTCCGGTACAGCTCTTCTCGATTCCGGCACAGTTTTCGCCGGTTCCAGCAAGTTCCGGCAGGTTCCTTGCCGCCGGATTCCGGCCGGAATTGCACAGGAAATATCCGATCAATTCCTAACCGTTTCCAGCTCGCAGTTTGCAGGAAACGGTCAGGAAATGACTGGAACCTACGTTTGAACTTCCGGCCGGAGTCCGGCGGCAAGGAAATGGTCGGAGAACGAACCTAACCGGCCGGAACCGACCGTGTCGTAATAACCTGGGTTGCTGTACACATGCAATACAATTAAGTTTCATTCGCCTGGATCATCTGATCGATTCGCTCAATATTGTGAATAAAGTTTGATGCCTTCTTTTCATTTTGGTCAGTAAATTTCAATAAATTTGATAAAGATTCCCGATAACATATTATCATATCTGGATCAATTGTTGTGTCGAGTCGTGGGCTGCTCATGATGATTGTTTGGGGTTGTCGTGTAACGTGTCTAACTATACGTTCGGATGTGAGAGTTAATAGGCCGCCAGTGTATTCTGGTGAAACGTTTTGGTGCGTAAGTTATTATAGAATCGGTTTCGTTGATGATTCGGTACTACTCGATCAGTTAATGATAATTATATTGAAATTAATGTGATGGTACGGTAAGATTTCTATTATCAATGATAATAAAAATAACGGATCACGGCACCAATTACTAGAGACGTAAGATGATGGTGTGCAAAAGAGAAAAGATAATTCGAGTGCTGGATCGGTAACTGTTTATTTTCGAAGAAAAGGAAAACAAGCGTACAGAAACATCCACGCAATATATATACGTATATATACAGTGGCTGTCAAAATTGTGCGACCAGTTGACCAAAAACAACTTTTCGATACAAGTAAACATCTGTCTCAGGTCAGCTAGTATTTAGTAGGATAACCTTTCAAACGAATAACTTCATTTAGTCGATTTGAAACAGAATCAACTAACTTTTTCAACACCGTAACTTCAACTCCATTCCATACTCGAGTGAGACATCCTTTCGAGCCCTTTTCGTTCTTAGGCTGCTCGCTTTTCATGCGTCGTTCGATTTCATTCCACAGATGCTCTATGGGATTTAAATCCGGAGATGACGAAGACCATTTGAGTTGTTCAAAACCCTTTCTTGTCAACCCATTTGTCACAATAGCAGCTTTATGCTTGGAATCGTTATCTTGTTGAAACACCCATTAATTATCTAATCCCAATTTCCTAACAGATTGAAGTAAATTTTTGTCTAGGATGTCACGATACATCTCCCCAGCCATATTTTCCACCTCCATGTTTAACAGTCGGTACTATACATTTTGGGGCAAGTTCTTCTTTCGTTGTCCGCCACACCATAACTTTCTCATCCGATCCGAGCAAGTTAAAGTTGCTTTCGTCTGACCAAATAACATTATCCCAATAGGCAAGAGGTTGTTCACGATATGTACGAACATATTCTAAACGTTTGCCGCGATTGACCTTATTGACGTATGGAATTTTTCGAGCGACACGACCGTATAGGTCAATCTCGTGCAATCGACGACGAACTGTTGATTCAGAAATAGCAGTATTACGACTAGTTTGAAGTTCAGTTTTCACAGACGCAGCCGATTTTCGCCGATCAGTTTTGATTTTACGGTGAATAAGGCGGTCAGTCTGAAGCGTCGTCTTTCGTTTTCGGCCTCAGCCGATTAAATTTCTGATACATTTTGTTGATTTGTATTTTGCTATTATCCGATGAGTAGAAGTACGTGGCATAAATGTTTTCGTAACTATATCACGTTCATAATCACCATTTAAATAATGTTTTATAACAGTTTCGCGTTTATCGTATGAATATTCCTTCTGGTTCTTGGGAGTCATCGTCGGAAGTGATCTCTTGACGACGTACTCCGCTGAATCAAACAAACCACACAATGAAGAGAGATATAGATGGCGTTAGCATACAATGGGATAGTAATCAATTACTGCTATTTCCTTTTTCCTATTAAACTGACGAGGATTTGTAAGTGGTGGCAAAATTTTGACAGCCACTGTATATAGTAATGATATGTGTATCTAGGTAGAGAGAACTAAGAGAGAAGAAAAATTAGACGTCACCTGTAACAATAATAAAGTCTTCGAATCCGAATTGTAACACATAGGTTCAGGAATGACTTTAAATCAATATTTAAACTCGAACTGCACTAGTGTTAAGAGAGGAAAAGAGAAAAGTTGGAATTTGCTCACATGTAGCTGCAACCAGAGATCGAATAAACATGGAGATTTAGCGATGGACTGTGGTTCGGCAAATGGATCCTTCACTATACAATACATACCGGTTCATCGATGAATCTCAAGCATTAATGAAAGACGAAACCCATCTCAGGTACACCATTATTGTTTCATTTCTAATCGTGATATTTCACCTAAACCTATTCTGATAGTCACTATTCACTGATAGAATCTTCCTGAAGTGTGAGTCTAGTGGATAGTGCACAACACTGCTAGTCGTTAGTCCTAACATTTCCGTTTACTCGCATACACAGATGGTTGAACTTCTACTCTTATCGAGAGCTTTGGCCTTCCCATCAAAGGCTCCCCATACGTATACCGGACCACCTTCTGAGTTCTAAATATTTCAATTTGTCCTCAACTTATCATATCTAGTCGCACACTTTTCAACACTTTTCAGCTCTCGCTCTTCTTTCTCGTTCTCACATCCACCCTCACACCTCAATTAATTTTTATTACTCACAATCAAACATGCATACATAAAACTAAAAATATGTTCCAAGCATTAATGCCAGTGTCTGCTTTTTGTGTTGGCATTTCGACGGCCAGCACGATGATTGCAACAACCCTCACCTCATATGGCGCATCAGTTTACGGTTTTTCCAAAAGAGGTGACTCCCGTAATGGAAGGTTTGGGCTTAATTCCCAATGCCATAATAAGAGCGGGAGGCGCTACAGCATATAATGCAGTTTCACCCAACAATATAGAAATACATAGATTATTCACAGTTGGAATACGTGTATTCATAGTAGATATCTAGTTAGTGGAAAAGCCCGTTATTTCATTTGTTGCTACTTGTCTCCCAAATGTATTCGCATTCACGATTTCAGGATCGTTTAATCGACTTGTCTTGTAAACATGTTCCAGGAAAAAGACGAAAAAGGGAGAGAGGATGTGAAAAGAAGAACTGTTGTTCCGGTTCAAGTCGTGCTTACTCACAGCATTACCCCAATTTCGGTTTCCCGAAATTGTACGCGAAACAACAGGGGGAGAGAGGAAGGCAGATAGGATGGGGAAAGAAAAACTGTTGTTCCGGTTCAAGTCGTGCTTACTCATAGCATTACCCCAATTTCGGTTTCCCGAAATTGTACGCGAAACAACAGGGGGAGAGGGAAAGATTGTACGTACCTGTAAATAAGACACAGTTTTTGTATACATGATTGGCATAGAGTGAATATATTTGAGAGGTTCAACGAGAATTGCGTCTGTAAAAATGTTTATAAATCCATTGAGCTATATGACCATTGGCATATACACTTGCCACTTGATGAGAAGAGCAACGAACAATCGATGCAGTAGCTAGTGATTGAACAGTTTTACGACATACGACACGCATTATGTACTTCGTGTAGTATTAAAGTGACTGTTTTTTAATAATGGGCAATGTTTATTTGAGACAATGGGCTTACTGTATACGAGAAGGGAAGAGAAGAGCCTTGGTAATGGGAGGGAGGCACTTTCATATGTAGTTGAATTAAATACTGTGATGCAGTTACCGTCTCTGAAGTTTGCATTCTTCCCGAAGCAGATTTAGCATCGTTGTTGGTATTTAACGTTGACGAGACGTTTAAGCATTGTTTTGTTGATATCAACTGACTCTTGAAGAACTAGTTGAAAGATAACATAGGTTCCATTTGCACCGCCACGCTAGTAGCGTCGATCAATGATCGACTTCGAGTGATCAACTTGATTCGCTAGAGCAATATAAAACTATGTTAATATTTAGTATTGTTTACCAAGGGCAAATTTTTTGTATCTATCGTATTGCTTTTTTTCGTGTGTGTGTGTGTGTGTTGAAATCAAATACAGCCTTCGTATAGTCTACCTTGCTCGATTCTCCTTCGAATACGTGTAGAGAAAAAAAAATACTGGTGTATACCTATAGATATATCTTTGACGTCAATACCTGATGATTGGAAAGGACACAGATCAATGATCACCTCTGTTTCTCGTCATCTATTAATTTTTGTATATGATAAATTATTTGATGAAAAGTGCTCCAAATGGTGAGAAAGGAGTAGAGAACCGAAAGAATTGCTAAATCACTACTTAGTTTTACAGCATTTTCACCAAAAAAATAAAATAATATCTGCTAGTTACAAGTTTATATGTTGATCTCATTTCAAAGCTATGTGTTTTGAGTCAATACAGTAAAAGACAATGAATGACGAAAGACATCTGTTACCATATATTGGGTTGGGCAGAAAGTTTTTGCTTTTTTTTTAATTTTCTTTTTATTTCTTAACTTAAAAAAATAAACTAGCTTTCAACAATTTAACCTCCATCACTGCCTATGACTTGTTGCCAACACGTTGGTAAGGTCCATTTTGACGTCGTTCTCGTCGTCGAATTTTTTCTCGCCCAAGTCATATAATACGTTACAGCGATTGCGAGGATACTTCGGTTAGGATTAATCGAGATATGAGTGTCTGAGTCGCAGATCTGAGGGAAAAAGATAAAAAATTTTGTGGAGGTTTTTCGAATTTAAGCTTTCACAGTTTTATCCAAAAATGTGGAAAGACGGAATGTTTATTTATCATTGTCGATACCTTACTCTCCAGAGTATTGGCTTCAAAATGTGAAATCGGAATTCAATATCTTTGTGCGCAAGTTTGAAACGACGAACTGGATTGGAGTTTTCTGTGTAAAGGAGTTTTTGTTCGTCGAAGTCTGGGATGAACTATTTGTGTTCCACAATGCTCACAGTCGCATGATAATGTTCTTCTGGTTAGAAAGATACTACCATGAAATGCTTTGTTTTTGTTTCTATATAAACTTTTATGCGTATGATAAAACAATATAGTTATAAACGTCGACGATGTTAATTTTGACGATACTCTTTTACGTCATGAAGACGAAGTTAATGGTGATGACGTCGTTATCGATCTATCAGATTCAGCGGTGTATTTAGTTATTCTCGATTGTGTGTGAGCAGGTTTATCATCAACTTGGACGTCAAATAACAGTGTGTCGTCTATGAAATGCTCAAGAAATCTCTTGGATTAATCTTGAGGATGGATGAGGGTGTGGGGAAAAGCTCGGTACGTGGACAAAGGCCTTTTCGAGTTTTAACTCCAACCAGTAACGTCTCGGCTAGGGCTTCGGATACTCATCAACTGTAGCTTAGCATCTTAGGCGTAAAGTACCGAATTACATTCTCTTCCAGATTCCGATAGCTCTAACTGTCACTGATATCATTACATGTTTCTATTAGACTCTGGTTTTGAACATCAATTTCTTCAAAAGCTATTCGTCGATATCTATCTCGTTACCCGCTGGGCATCGACCAAGTTCACTCCAATTCTTCCAGATTCTTCATATACTATTGTCGACTTTTAAACGGATACCCGGGGTAATGATATTATGCCATCACTCGTGGATTCTTCCTGATCAATTAATAAGAACCTTAGATTGATGTGAGATTGTATTAAATAAATTCAGCCGAAACATTCACAAAAGAATTAAAAAAACTCAGCTCTGTATTTCATTGAATAACATGTCATCTGTCGACAATAGTTTAAGATCAATACTCATAATGCATTTTAATGCATTAGCATTCTTTGCAATTCGCAGTACATATCATCATACAAACAAAAGCTACAATGTGAATCTTCATCATTGTACGACAGAGCCTCGCCGTAAAGCACACTTTTCGTGTATTCTATAATCGATAAAGGAATAATTCGCCTGTATCGAAATATTAAATTTTAAAAAAATCGGATTTAACTATCATTTGGAAATATATTCGTGCACGGCTTCATTCCATATAATGTGTGTTATCGTATAACAACTCATTTTACTGCGAGATAATGTACATAAGAGATAACACTTTATTTCTAACTTATAATTGGGCAGAATTTCACATACAACCGGAAGAGATGTTTGAATGTCTACATGATAATTGAAATCTATGATGTTCCATCAATATTGACAACGATTGGATACTGGAAATGAAACAACATTAACAAGAACAAGCATAGTTGTGCATGAAATACTTGAAATTGTTGTTCCTTCTCACCAGAAAAGCTTTTTCGCTCATCTTGATGGCGAGGGTGATGACGATTTCATTTTAGTCATTCTTTGTTTTTTTCAACAATAACTTCTACTCATGTTTATTGCGATAGCCATGAGCGTCTGAAGGGATATAGCGAAATTTCTGAATTTCCCAGCGCGCAGATCAGGTTAGAACTTCTTATACGGGCTATAAGAACATCCATATAAGAAGACCTCACCTAATTTTCCAACCTTGGAAATTGGGAAATTTTGCATGACGAATATAATAGTCTAGGTTAGTGACATTTTGAGTATGTACTGGGTCAAAAATGAATTTCCCGGAAAACGCTATAACGCATCAAATCACAATTGCTTAAAGATGGAAAAGCAACACGCTTCGACTTCAACACTTCTTGCATGTTATTGTGAAAAAAAACGAAATCTTTATTTAAAATTGATGGCAAACGTCAATTTAGATATAAACAACTTGATTTATTTAACCGGTCAAATCGATTCTCCTATCTTGTGCCTTATCATTCATTCAGCTTCAAAAACTTTCTCTCTCCTATGGATCTTATAAGATTATGCATAAAAATTTGTATTCTCAGTAGTCTGAATGGATTATCTATTCTAAAGAGAATAATTAACGTTCAAATTTTTTCCCCTTGTTATGATTGATCAATCTGATGAATCTACCTCGGTACAGATAAACAAATTATTTTTTTTTTCTAAAGCTCTCCATCTAGTTGAAAGAATGAAATGTTCACAGATTTATGGAAAAGTTAAGCAAAGATTATCCATCCCAAAGTGCCTGCCACTACCCACTACATCTAAATTGTGTGTTCCCGCCGATGTTGAAAACACAACTGAGTCAAGTCTGGAATATCCGTCAAATGTTATATATGACACATTGAAGACTTGAAGTGTATAAATATTATTGGCAATGATTGTATTAGAACGATATCCAACTACTTGTAATTGTAAATTATCAGACCAGACTGCGGCAAATGCACCAGAATATAGAGTAAAACGACTACCATTCGTACCTTTTATAGTCAGTGCACTGGCACGTTCATTGAATGCTGCAGCATTTCCGCTGATCATAACTGTTACCATGCCACTTCCTCCAATTGCAGGATCACTAGAAAGCGCAATATCGGCATTATCCCAATTAATATTACGATAACCATTTGGTATGAGTTCTTGAGATTTAAGCGATAGATCATCGAATGTTATTAATGCCTTGCCAGTCACGCAACCTACATTTAAAATAAAGAAATTCATTAAAGTATGGATTTAGTAAACAACGAAAAGCTAAACACAAATAAACAATTACAACATCTATTCGGAGAACAGATAACTGAAAGAAACAGACTACGTTGCAAAAAATCTGTTTGAGTATTTGACGTATAAGTTGTTGACCAAGTGACGATGGTTATCAAAACAACTCTAGACTTTCTATTTACTTGGATTTAATGTTGTTGTTGTTATTGTTGTTGTCGTCGTCGTCGTCGTCGAGGTTGCCGTTAATATTGCCGATGCGTTGTCTAAAATCAATCATACGTCTGACTAGTATTGAATATATAAATATAAATTTTAATAAAGTTGCTTCATTGTCTCAAAAAAGTTTGTTCATACTTCATATTTGATCAATACATACTTGTTGAACGAGATTTCATTACAAATAAAATAATCAGAACTATGCAGAGTATCAGTAAACCAATTAAAATGAAACTTAAAACCAAGATTATCCATTTTAAGCAGTTGAAAGAACACTTTTCTTTTATACTGTATTATATAAACAAAAAGCAAATCAACAAAAATATTCAAATGAATAAAAGCTTTTTACCTAATTTCATCAGCTTGTATTCCTTGTTCAATAGAACGACTTAATGACGGTAGATTATATGAAGCTAATTCAAGAGGAGGAATTGAAGGTTCTACAGTTGTTCGTAAATCATCATAATCTGGTGGATTTTCAAATACTTTTTCATTTAACGCCATCCAATAATAAACTATCTGAAAAATACGCGTAAAAACCTCTCTGACTCTCCTAAGCGAGAGGTAATGTTTATTATACTTTCTAATCTTTGTTCCTCAATTCTTTTGATAAATGAACGCGCAAACGTGAATGAAATGACTGGGGAAGGAATGCGTATATTTCGTATTTACATTCTTGTTATCGTTATTTGCAGAAGAGCAACGTCAATATTTTCAAATTCAAGTTTTTACTGATTTCATCAATCATGATTAATTATCTCTCCACACGTAATATATATATATACACAGATCAATATCTATTTCATATGAATATTTTTAATTAAAAATCAACATAAACATGTCAACGATGGTTTTACATCGATAAAAGGACAAACTCAAATGGAAAAAATTACGCGAAAGCGAAGAAATACTCAAATGTATATCTGTATATCCATGAAAAATTTAATCTCATCGGACCACTCTTCGCCCCATCGTATAACTTTATTGGAAAAATCAAAAAACAACATTTCTTTTTTGTTTTGAGAACTCAAAATAGGGATGAGTGTAGAGAATCTCTATTTATCCTTGTCTACATCCTTAGAATTTTCATATCCAATACACTCGATGATATTTATTCCTATGCATACACCATCATGTTGATCCCAACACATTGCTAAAATATAATGTCCCAGTTACAACATTATTACCGCCATGGCTAATTACTAAATCAACTAATGGAAATATCTTAGTCTGTGGAAGATTTCGTTCACCAACCATAGTGTTTGGTAATTTCAAATAATCGCCATATGAGCCGTTACTAATGACATATCGATTTTTTGTTTGAGAAAGAATGTCAATTAAATGTTGCAAGAGTTGAACTTCGGTGTAATCAATTGTACCTAATGAGATGTATACAAAACAACTTCTTACAGAATGATCTTGAAACGACATTGTCAAATCATAAACTTGATCAGTTTGACGTAACATTCGAATCAAGTCGATATCATGTTAGACTGAGGAAACGATATTCTATATAATCAGTTTCTCATGGATAAATATACATATTTGCATATTTTGGCTCACTATCGAACTGTAAATTTGCTAAAGATGGCACACACCTTGTTGCTCAATCCAATCATTAAATGTATTCCACATAAGACGAAACAGAAATTCCTATTCAATTCGAAAACGATCTCATTCAGTTCGATCATTTCGTGATAAGTTGAAAAATGTTGGTGAAACATTAGTACCAGGAATTTCGAGTGGATTACAAGAAATAAAACCTATGAATGGTATAGAACTAGTTATGAGAAGAGAAAAGCAAACTGAATTGCACTCTAAAAAAAAGTCCGGCGTTTAATCAACCCTCAAAAAGGGTTTATGACTGAAAAATTTGTTCATCAACCTGATCTACCCCTAGATCAACCCTTTTTTCTTCAAAAACCCACGAAGGGTTTGTTATACGTTGC